GCCACTGTGATGCAGTGGTTAAGGCACTACTCTAGGCTAGAAATGGGAGACTGTGAACTCTACTCCTGCCTTGACATCCTTGATATCAAGCTAGGGGAGCTTGGCCGGTCCCTCTCTTTCAACCCTAGAAGGAAACAGTGGCAAACTACCTCTAAAATCTTGCCAAGAAAAAAATCAGGGACTTGTGTCCAAGCAGTCTTCAGGAGTCAAGAGTGACTCAAAAGTCACAAAAATTAACAACTAGGGAATATAAGGGTTTTTCCACTTACCTCCTGGATAATTCTAAGGAAATCCACTCTTTTGAACTTCATTGTCCTGCTCCTGTCAGCTTTTTTGAAGAGATCCACAAGCTTGAGTTTTTGCTTATGCAGAAGGTTTTGTAGTGTAATAATAGATGGTGGATATGGAGCCTGAATAAGAGGTGTAGTTTTCACTGGTTCAATCTTCGGTGGGATCTGCAGAAGAGACATCCAAACATTTTAAAAGGATTATACTCCACTTTGTTTTGATGAAGTAGAAATGCAACAACTTGGTTAGTTCTTCAGTCAATCAACCAACCATCAGCTGTATTGCAAAACACAAGCAGATTGGTGGACATATTACTGAAGGCAAAAAACAAACAGACAACTGGTCTGACATATGTCCTATTTTTATCTCATTTTGTGGCTTCACTGATTGTATTCGCTGGTCAAATTTATTAATCCAAGGGCTTTGCTAATACTAGAGCAAGAACTCATTTTATAATTGTATTTGTATTTTGCTGCAAAGGAAATAAAAAGCAAGACGGGCTGCCATACATTTCAGGCAGGCAGAACCACAATATGGTAATCCTCACTTAATGACGCTCGCTTAGCAATTGTTTAAAATTATGCCGCCCCCCCCCCCAAATGGTACTTACTACCAAGTTCCAGAGTTTTGATGGCAGCACCCCTCTCCCCACAGTTCCATGACTGCATTTCGGGCACTTGGCAATGGCCAGTTGCAGTGTTTTGCAGTCACATAACAACAATTTACATTTTTGCTAGTTTCTGGCAAAAAAAGCCCCACCCAAAGGAATGAATAGCCTCATTTTAATACTGTGGCTTTCATTTTACAAAAAAAGTTGTAAAATCGAACTTATGATTGTCGTGATTTAGAAATTCTAGACCCCTTTACAGTCATTAACTTGAGGACTACCTGTATATAAACACCAAGTCTATACAAATATATTATATTCTCTTTCAAGACTAAAAATGAAATGTTCCAAAGTCTTTTGACTCAAAAGAGGAAGAAAAGGCTTTAAATCTGGAAAATGCAGATGCAAAGGCCTTGATCTGGATTCTGTAAAGACAGATATTCTCTGCATACATGGCTTCTTTCTTGTCTCCAATAACTCATATTATTATACCTTTGCTCCTACTGCTATAAGCATGTTCCTAAATACAAAATTTAGTGCCCACAGCGCTAAAGATTTATTGCTGGGCTTGGTATAAAGCCTGACTGAAACGTGAGGTATAATTTTGACTTGAGTTCCTGGGACATTGTAATTATCTATTAGATTTTTTATGCTGTCCCTCCTGTAAAGAGTTTGAGACTCTCTCTGTTCTTGCTTTATCCTCACTACAGCTCTCAGACATAGGCTGGACTGAGAAGAGAGACTGGTTGTACAGCTGGTTTATAGTCATCCTCATGAGGACATTTAATTGATGCTCCTCCATTATAGTCCCAAACTCTAATCCACAAGTGGAGCATTCCAGATGTGGTTGAGAAAGGCCATTCTTCCTGCTGGTTCTGTACCATGGCATCATGCTGACTTCCTACTATGCTTACCTTAACACATTGGAGAGCCTGCAATTCGGCTTGAATTTTAGCCTCTTTTCTTTCTTTTTTTATTTTCCCCAGGATGCTTTCTTCTTGCTGAGTGAGAGGCTTCTTTTCAGTCAACCATTCCTCCAGATTTACACAGTTCTCCAACAAATTACGCAGTTGTTTTCGCTCCTTAATCCAAGCTTCCATATTTAGCAGGTCACTCTCCTCAGTGGAAATGCTGTCCTGGGCTTCCGGAGGTGCTGTCAGCTGCTGAACTTTCTCCACTTCACTGGGGACAGGTGGCCAAGGCTTGTGAATACTAGGAGCCACACTGTCCATAGGTGGTGCAATAAGAATACGCCGTCTTGGTTTAGGTGGGCCAAATCTATTTGGTCTCAATTTAAGGGAAAAATAGGGATATTCATTTCTCAGTTTATACTGTTTAAAGCAATGGCTTAAAATCCTATCTGAGGCAGATTCTTTAGGAGACTCTTCATTTAAGGTGGTCTCACTTTCAGTGTCACTGAAAAGAAGGAGTCAAAATCATTAATACCACTCATCCAGTCTTTTTTAAAAATAAAATACAATAAAAACATGATAAAATTAAAATACTTAATGGTACATCTAGCAATATTAATTTCTGTAAATATTAATTTTTGTTTTCTTGGGTACAGAAATAAAGTAACATAATCAACCTAAGATTTCAACAGATATTTAAAGATATGGATTTTTTCAGAAATTATACAGATGGGGTAAAATCTATTTATGAGCTTTCCTTTCTTAGGGGAAAGTGAGGCCACAATGCAAAAGTGATTTTCCGCATATCCCCCCCCCCCCCAAATTCAAATGAGAAAGGACAAAGTTTAAACATGTCAACAAGATTGTATTAAAAATTGCCCAGGTAGAATCCAAAGTGTCTCTCCAGGCAGGGCTGGGATAGAAGCCCCTGAAAGTTCCCGCTCTTGCATTGAACTTGATGGAGCCAAGCATATGAACTGTAGCTAACAGAATGCTTCCAATCTTGATTGGCAGGGCCTGAAAATTCCAATCTCCCACATATGGACACCATCTGGTTGGGGACACTGCTGTGTAAAGAATTACTAGCCTGGAGATAAGATGGCTTTATTTATTTATATCCCACCTTTATTATTTTCTGCAAATAACTAAAGGTGGCTAAACATATCCAAAACACACCTTCTTCCTCCTATTTTCTCCACAACAACCACTTTGTGGATCAGGCTGGGCTGAGAGTGACTGGCCCAATGTCACCCATTTGGGTATCATGGCTAAGGCAGAAGTCATAGCCTCCCACTTTCTAGTGCCTTAACTAGACCAAACTGGTTTCCTAAAGAAATTTCCTAGCTCTTAAACCTATTCATTCGACCATTCAGTGCCAAGAAAATAGAGGCAGAACGTTTGTCCCAAAGAGGCTTTTCCAAAAGTCGACTGGACTTTCTTGGTTTTGTCCTTGAAAACGTTTCGCTTCTCATGCAAGAAACTTCTTCAGAACTTCGATGAGAAGCGAAACTTTTTCAAGTTAAAAAAACAAAACAAGAAAAGTCCAGCTGCTTTTTTGGAAAAGCCCCTTTGGGACAACCACGTCCTGGATGATTTGAGAATCTCCCAAGCCATTCTAACTCGTCATCAAGCGACCGTTCCGATTTCTGCAATCACATCGGATAACTCTACTTATTACCCCTGAGAAAACCAAAAGAAAAATCTTTATGAACCGGGAGGCCCCTTGCTGAATTGTACCAACCGGAGAAATGAAGAAATGGAGTCGTAAAGAGATTGCGTTATGTGAGTGGTCCCTGAATTGTCACTCCGGTTTCTCATGCTTTGTGATAACCAGCTAAGCTGCTCCATTTTGCTCGACATTGCGACGTCCTAGAGCAGAAAACTTCACTGTCCGCGTCTTCGGACCCGTGGTTAAAAAAAACAACAACGCCGTTTTACTGGGCTGTGCGAAAGACAGGAAAAGCCCGCAGTTCTCTGTAATTCTGGAGTCGAGGAAGAAGAGAAAAAAAAAAAGCAGGAGGGAAAAAATCCTCGTTCCCTTCGCCAAGCTTTCTTTCTCTCAGCTGAGGTAAAAATGACCTGACAACGGTTCCCCCCGCCCCGCTTAACGCGCCACCATTAGAGCATAAGGCAAAAATTTGTTTTGGTGGGCACCAAGACAACGGGCAGGCAGGCAGGCAAGCAGGCGGGCGGGCTTGCATGCAGTTGATTGGCGCTGCGGGAGAAGATCGAACGTTGTGTCGCAAAGCCGCGGGGATGCCCGTGTCAATTTCGTGCCAGCCTTTCCCGCCTCGGTGCTCCCGTTCCTTCCATTCCTTTTTCAATAGGGCTGGGACGGGGAGTTAACTAGCAGAACTGGGATAGGCAGTAAATCTTAGCTAGCGTCACGCCTTGACGACCCCCTCCATTCATGACACGCAGCTGGATCTTGAGAGAGAATAGCCATTTAGACTATGTGTCTATGGCCCTAATCAAGGTTCGTCTAAAGTTTCTTAACTAAGTTCCAGTGACAGGGGAATAGCTTTCCATGTTGTCTTAAATCATGGCTTTCAAGCCAAAATAGCTGAGTATATATTGTATAATTCAACCCATTGTGTGAACGAAGCTTTTCCTGGTTACTGCCAAACCATTAACCTGCTGAAATGATAAATCACACCTAAAAAAATCAGATACAGCATGAGGTTAAAGAGGTTTAAACTACTTTGTGGTTCAAAATAGTAGTAAATATGAAAAAAAAAATACTTGATTAGATACCAAGTAGGAGACTAAAATGAAGACAAAGCTAATTTGGCATTTCATTGGTCCTTCCACCTCTTCAGAAACATCTCATTGAATTGTGATTCTTTTCTTCCACAAGCCAGATTCTAACTGTAATAAAATCCTGTTTTAAATTCATTGGCATGGCTTAAATTCATTGGCATGGCTTCCTATCTTTAACATGATTTGTTGTCAAAAAGCCGATCATAAAGAGCAACAGATTTGGATGGGGGCTGTCACAATAGTTTAGATTCACACCTTCTCATTGGTTTCTTGATTTTCATTGGTTTTATCACCACCTTCCTGATCCAGTCTGAATGAGAAATACCAACCAGGAAATCAGTAGAAGAAGCCTCTTTCAAAGGATTGGTTAGGTAACTTGAATTGGAATCTCTAGATGCTTACTAAATTGTAAATTGTACAGAGTCCTGGAGTATTGTGTTCTGATGTATTACAGTAAACAAACTTCAGTATTTAAAATTTCCATGATCAAAGGAGTGAAAATGAGAAATAGAATAAAATTTAATAAATTCTGAACAGGCATATAAAAGGACACATATTTATAGTTAATCAAGTGGGATAGGAGAAAAAGCAGTTTAAAAAATGAGAAAGGGGTTGCCAAGAGATTATAGAGAGCTAATGATTAAGATTTAATTTGTCATGATTTTCCCATAGCCAGGAATGATAAATGTTCAATTTGTGGTCTTGCGGCTGTACCTGAAAGAGAAATGAACATGTTTTGGCCTCATCAGTACATCAGTGATCTAATGTCATCCATAAGCCATTTTGCACATTTTATTGTATTTATTTTACTTGCTGAAGTATAAAAATTTCCCCTCTATCACAGAGCAAGTGATTATTAGCACAAGACCTCTCAGATAAATATGAGAAAAGTATGGAGGGTCCTGTTTTATTTCTTAGGTTGTGATATTAAAAATACTTTGCAAAGCTATTGATTGTTATATTTTAAGACACAATAAGGACAAAATGCAAAAAGGATATTCAAGTCTTAAATAACATTTTGTTATTTTCTGAAGTTCTAATTCATATGAATCATGTATCTAGCTGTAATTATAGCTTCTGTATTATTTCTAAGTTACAGATTACTGTAATTAATATTACTGTAAGTAATATTAATATTGTTATAATATTAATATTGCTGAAATTAATATTAGGCTCTCAATGATTTTCATTGAAAAGCATCTATTACCTCTTTCCATTCATTCACACAGAAAATTCTGTAAGAATCATTTCCATATTTTCCAATTCCATGTAATTCAATTGGATATTTCCACTGTTTAACCAAATATTCATCTAAGGAACAAAAGAAATAGTCATAATAAAAAGCTGGACTAAATTCTATTGGTTTTAAGTTTATGAAAAATAACTTATGACTTCAAGAATAATTGCTCATTTGTAAAAATGCAAATTACAAGAAATCAAAACTTGATAAATTAAGTTATGAGCTTGTTGTACTATCCAGTACCTAACAAAAATAGAATACTAATAAATAACATGAATGGCATTTCACTTCTATGTTCAAACAATTTCACAGTAAGTCCAAAAATGACATATTACTAAAATATTCCAATGCCAAACTCTCCAAACTGTTTTAACAATGGCAAAAAAAAAATCAAATTTAAAAGTATCAGTACATAAATTAAACAAAAAACACGAAAAAGCTCATGAATAGAGATTATACAGATTGTGTATACATATGTTTTGGATCACAACAGGTACTAAATGGTAATGACTTCAAATATATGGAATAAATTTCCACTTCATGTCTCAATCATGAATGTATTAAGAGGTCTTTGGCAAATTATCCTTCCTCAGTTTTGGTCTTCCAACCACAATAAATAAAAATACTGATATATTATAGAGCTGTATCAAGGTTTTAAGAGATAATATACATGAAACATATGAAATATTGTAGCTATTACCTGAAAATTTGACAATGGTCTTTGCTCTGAGTTCATATAGGCCAAGAGGTTTAAGCAATTCTGACATTTCTTTCCAATTGGCAGTTCTTGCTACTTTTGGTGAAGGATATTTCTTAAAAAATTCCCACAACACAGGGATAGCCATCTTTCCTAGACAAAAATAAGAAACTGTGAATAACAACATCTGCACCGAATTTTCAAAGCTGGCTGCAATTTCCCAGACAGATTTTTCTGCACAAAAGTAACTTGGCATAAAACTATTGAGAGTTTTTAGGATACTGATATACACTGCTCAAAAAAATAAAGAGAACACAAAAATAAGACATCCTAGATCTGAATGAATTAAATGTTCTTATTAAATACTTTGTTCATTACATAGTTGAATGTGCTGACAACAAAATCACACACAAATTATCAATGGAAATCAAATTTAGCAACCCATGGCGGTCTGGATTTGGAGTTGCACCCAAAATTACAATGTAAAAAAACACTACAGGCTGATCCAATTTTGATGTAATGTCCTTAAAACAAGTCAAAATGAGGCTCAGTAGTGTGTGCGGCCTCCACTTGCCTGTGTGACCTCCCTACAACGCCTGGGCATGCTCCTGATGAGGTGGCGGATGGTCTCCTGAGGGATCTCCTCCCACACCTGGACTAAAGCATCCCCTAACCCCTGGAGAGTCTGTGGTGCAATGTGGCGTTGGTGGATGGAGCGAGACATGATGTCCCAGATATGCTCAACTGGATTCAGGTCTGGGGAACGGGCGAGCCAGTCCATAGCATCAATGCCTTTGTCTTGCAGGAACTGCTGACACACTCCAGCCACATGAGGTCTAGCATTGTCTTGCATTAGGAGGAACCCAGGGCCAACCGCACCAGCATATAATCTCACAAGGGGTCTGAGGTTCTCATCTCGGTACCTAATGGCAGTCAGGCTACCTCTGGAGAGCACACGGAGGGCTGTGTGGCCCCCTAAAGAAATGCCACCCCATACCATTACTGACCCACTGCCAAACCAGTCATGCTGGAGGATGTTGCAGGCAGCAGAACGTTTTCCACGGCGTCTCCAGACCCTGTCACATCTGTCACATGTGCTCAGTGTGAACCTGCTTTCATCTGTGAAGAGCACAGGGTGCCAATGGCGAATCTGCCAATTTGGTGTTCTCTGGCAAATGCCAAACGTCCTGCACGGTGTTGGGCTGTAAGCACAACCCTCACCTGTGGGTGTCGGGCCCTCATACCACCCTCATGGAGTCTGTTTCTGACTGAGCAGCCACATGCACATTTGTGGCCCACTGGAGGTCATTTTGCAGGGCTCTGGCAGTGCTCCTCCTGTCCCTCGCTGCACAAAGGCGGAGGTAGCGCTCATGATGCTGGGTTGTTGCCCTCCTACGGCCTCCTCCATGTCTCCTGATGTACTGGCCTGTCTCCTGGTAGTGCCTCCATCCTCTGGACACTACGCTGACAGACACAGCAAACCTTCTTGCCACAGCTCGCATTGATGTGCCATCCTGGATGAGCTGTACTACCTGAGCCACTTGTGTGGGTTGTAGACTCTGTCTCATGCTACCACTAGAATGAAAGCACCACCAGCATTCAAAAGTGACCAAACCACCAGCCAGAAAGCATAGGAAGTGAGAAGTGGTCTGTGGTCACCACCTGCAGAACCGCTCCTTTATTGGGGATGTCTTGCTAACCGCCTATGCTTTCCACCTGTTGTCTATTCCATTTGCACAACAGCATGTGACATTGATTGTCAATCAGTGTTGCTACCTAAGTGGACAGTTTGATTTCACAGTCGTGTGACTGACTTGGAGTTACACTGTGTTGTTTAAGTGTTCCCTTTATTTTTGTGAGCAATGCATTACAACTTAAGTACAGGATTCACATTTCCTACATGTAAGTAATTTCAGTGACAGAAAATCGGTGTTGTGTGAGGCAGCCCTATGGTTTATATTGTCATTATGGTCATAACTTCATCAGCTGATTTTTAAACTACATATGTATATGAGCCAACCAAACTTGCATGATATATTGAGCAAATGTTACTACTGAATCTCTACCATTTTAGTAGCATTAATTCACTTTGCATAATTTAGGTTGAATATTGTCCTCTTTCTGGATCTCTTTACCAGCTGGATGACAGCCTTTTTCTTAGGGAGAAAATCCACATTCACTAGCAATACATCAAATCATAATTTGGATAGAACCACTTACATGCAATGACAAGTAAGTAAACTAAACTAAATAGCACTTTATAGCCTGATTAGCACTCCCTGGGAAATTTATGTTTTAACTTGTCTGCAAAATGAATTGCACGTGTCCCAACAGCACTAGACTGAACCACAGGAAAGCAATTCCATACATGGGAATTCAAGGTGACCATGATTGGTCTCTTATTTACCTGAGGTTTTATTCAGAAATATAGTTGCAATCAGAAGTTTCCATGAATCGTGAAAAAGTGTTTCCTGAACCAGATTAAAAGGAGAACGAGGTGGAGTCCATTTCCTAAAAGCTTTCCTTCTTGGTGGACTTGGAGCTAAGCATGCATAAAAAAAAGTTACCATAATTTGCTTTTGTTGTCTACAATTACTCCTTCTATAGATACAAAGACAGTCTGGGTTGCTTGGAACCCAGAGAGAGATCAAATGCAGGGGTGGGTTTCTACCGGTTCTGTCCACCTCTGGACAGAACTGGTAGCTCTGAAGAGCAGCAGACATAGAACCTATCTGCTGATGTTTTTGCCCACCCGCCCACTTGGGCTCTTACCTGACCTTTATTTCCTGATTTTTTTCAACTTCAGCTGCTGTGTGAGGCACAGCTGCAGTTAAAAAAGCAGGAAAAAAGGGCTTTTTGAAAGGCTGCTTCTCTGCACGCAGCATGCTGATGATGATTTACAGGCGCTCGCTGGGAAGCACATCGTAAATCACCGAACCTCGTAAATGACCGAACTGGTAGAAACCCTGTCGGATTCCACCCCTGATCAGATGTATCAAAAGTCTGTTTCCTTCTGACAGTGTTTAGATGCTTCTGTTAGACTGGCAATACATCAAGCAAAATATGCCGACAGTGTTATAAACTTCCCTTTTCTCTTGTAAAGGCTGAAATTATGAAGAACTATGGTTAAGTTTGTCTTAATGAGAACAATTAGAGGCTATGGTCTAATCCTCAATCAAATTCAGTAGTTTAAATTTTACATAAATCACAGTTCCCAATTTTTTATTAGTAGAGAATGATCGTTTGTTTAAAATCTAAATAAAACCTTCTGTTCTCACAATTCATGAATAAAAGCCCATGTGCTCATAAGGAAACAATGGTTTTCCATTACATCTGAATCCAATCAATGTAACTCTGACCAAAACTTTTAGAAGGGATGATTCAATACATAGATTACTCCCTTCGCTCTATCTTTATTGGAAACCAAACAGCTATTGATATAGTGTAATATATTTAAAATTATTCTATTGTTTATAAATAATCCAAATATTACCCATATTAATTTACTCATAAAGACAATTAAAAGTATTTATACTTATTTCAAGGCATCTCTACTTATATTTTACTATGCAGGTATAAAAACATTTTAATTTGCTTTCATATAAATAGGACTAATAACAGACTGCAAACACTATTAGAATTATTTTTTTAAAAAATAAGTTTGCTAATTTTCCACAAATCTTTTTCATATAAAAGATTTTTTTACCTTCTTTGATTAATTTTCTGGAAAAATATGGACTGGTTTTCCGCCTTTCCACTTGGGTTCTTTGGGGAGTATGGCTCTCTAATTGTAGAAAAGCAAAATGTAAAACAAAAGTAATACATAATGTAAAATTTTACTTATGCCTTTTGTGGACAGAAGATATATACAAAACAATAATCCCTTCTTTCTGCAATTACAGATAATCCTTAATTTATGAAAATTGAGCCCACACTTTCTGTTAAGTGAGACATTTGTTAAGTGAGTTTTGCTCCATTTTACAATCTTTCTTGCCACAGTTGTTAAGTGAATCACTACAATTCATAAGTTAGTAACTTGGTTATTAAGTGAATCTAGTTTCTCCATTGACTTTGCTTGTCAGAAGGTTGCAAAAATGTGATCACATGACCTCGGGAAACAGCAACAGTCATAAATATGAGCCAATTGCCAAGCATCTGAAGCTTGATAACATGATCATGGGGATGCTGCAAAGGTTGTAAGTGTGAAAAACGGTCGTAAGTCACTTTTTTCTTACTTTGAACAGTCACTAAATGAACTGTTGTAAGTCGAGGACTACCTGTAATAGTATTGCCTCTGTGATTATCCAGATCTGTTTTTTAGGAAGAAGATGGGTTATGTGGAGGTGTGTGTGTGTGTGTGTGCGTGCGAGAGAGAGAGAGAGAGAGAGAGAGAGAGAGAGAGAGAGAAATGGAATGAATGAGATGTTGTTTTCTTTTTCTGCAAATATACCCAACCTCTAAGGCAGTGATGGTGAACTTTTTTGGCACTGAGTACCCAAAGTGAAACACTCAAAATGGAACATGCATGTGCCCTGCCCCTCGCGCATGCGTGGCAGAGTGTCAGCTTTGGAAAACATATTCCACGCTGCCACATAGCCTGAGAAGTTGGGAGAGGGGTGATTTCAATTGAGTAGTTCTAAGTAGACAAAATAAAATTCTTTTCTTAGTTCAAGGTTATTAAGTGTGGTGCAGCAGAGAAGGACTTTACACTGAGGCAGATTGTGATTGGTCCATGTGATATGATGATGGGAGAAAAAGGGATGGATTGTAGTTTGGGACATGGTGGGAAGTCCAGGAAACTTTAGTTTCAAGATTTCACAGATGTGCTAGGTGCTACTCTAATAAAGGTACTTTTGAGATTATGCTCGTCTCGGAGTTACTGATTGGAATGGAGTTTTGCTGGAATGCTGGTATTATCTCAAAACTAAAGTTGAAGACCAGCTATGTGGGAGGTGAACGTGCACGCGCAGCTAAGCTGGGGTGAGGTACATGTGCCCACAGAGAGGGCTCTGCGTGTCACCTGTGGCATGTGTGCCATAGGTTCACCAACACTGCTCTGAGGAATACAGATAATCCTTAACTTACAATTTTAACTGTGGGCTTAATTATGGTTGTAAGTCCTGCTGGTCATCACATGACCAACTTGACTTTACAATATTTTTTGATGCGATGGTCATTAAGCAAATATCCAGAGTTATTAAATGAACACTTGTGAACTCAGTGTCTGCAATGGGCAGTTTTTACCAGTAAGTAGATGTTTGTGGCAAATAATATTTTAAATGCAAGTGGTTGCTGAGCACCTAACATGTTATCATGGGATCGCAGGAGGGGTGGCTTTAGAACTTCAAATTCAGGTCATACTAATAAAGCTTGACATGGTTGGTCCCTAGGTTACCTTACAGAACATCTCCTGAAGTGGAATCTGCAGTCAATACATTATGAAAGGATGAGTGGTTGTTTAGGGTTCCATCCTCACAAGGGATCAAAGCAGTGGTGGTATTCGACCGATTCTGGAGAGCCAGTAGCAGCGATGAGCAGTGGAGACCAAACCAGTTCTCTTTGCTGCTGTGTTTGGCCCACCCACCTGCCAGGCTCACTTTTATGGCCAGAATTCAAAGCGCAGCTGCTTTGCGTGGGGCAAAATAGCACCGTGCGACATCTGCTACAGCAACCAGCATTGTGCAGGCTTGCAGGAGGAAAGTTAGAATGCCTCTGCGCCTGCTCAAAGTGCGTGTTTGGCACGCGCGTGCATGCAAAGTGTGCACATGCGCAAAGCATGGCCACCAAGCCACGCCCACCGAACCGGTGGCAACTTTAGTTGAATACCACCACTGGATCAAAGGGACACTGACCTAAATTTAATAATAGACATTCTTGAAAATAAATAAATACAGTACATAAACATATACCTTTGGCTGATGTAAAAGGTTTCTCTTGGCACATCTGGGAAACATCCACAGTAGAAGCCTTCTGTTTACTTTCACTCTCTGAAGCCATTAATTTTCTTTGCATTTCTCCTCCTGAAAGGTTTTTATTAGCAGCTGCAGAGATTCTGCTGCAAGAACTCTCAGTACATTTTAATATTTCCGTGCTTGTTTGGTGTTCTAAGAACGGTTCAATCTGTTTATCATTCTGTTCTGTTTTTGGTTCAAACAACAGTTCATCCTTAAAACATATTTTTCTTTTCCTTGAGCTTCTTCGGCATACTTTGTTTTCACTGGAATCACTATTAAGCACACACATTTTGTTCTTACATATGGCACGTTTACTGCTTTGTGCCTGTTTTTTACACGCTGATAGACTCTGTATTTTATTTTGGCCACCAATGACATTCCTTATTTCAGAAGACTTTTTAGATTTTCTGATTTGAATCTTTCTTCGAATAGTGTCCTTTTCATCACTTTTGAAAAAACAGTCCTTAGAAATATCTCCAGTACTGGGCCCATCCTGCAAACAGATAGCAGGAATTTCTGGTTCTTTAGCATTGGATTGAAGTTCCAAGTTACTTTCTAGAAAAGATTTACAATCTCCTACACTGTTTCCTAATCTAGGGAGTGAAACTGGACTCCTAGAAATGCAACTCTCAATGTCTATGCCTGCATTTCTGGAAGAAGATCTTTTGGTTCTTAACCGTGTATTCCTCTGAACCGCCATAGTAAAATAAAAATCCTCTGCTGTAAGAATGCTGTCTTTTCCTCTTTAAAGTAATTCAAAAAATCACGTTTAGATCTGAACTTGAGTCCTGGAGCATTGAGAGAAAAACAGCACAATCAATAAATTAAGTTCATAATGGGGGGGGGGGGAATTATGCATGTAAACAAAAACAATCTAAGCATCATTGCATATGCAATCTTTTCTTTTACATTGTATTTATTTTATTGCAATTTCTTTGATTGTTCTGAGAGTGGGTGAGTCAGGAGGCATACAATAATCATAGTCATTATGGAAAAATAATATAACGATAAACTACTATTTTGGAAAGAAAAATCAAAACAGTAATACCATTACAATTTATAAACACATTTGCCAAATAGTACAGATTCCAGGGAAGTAGCCTTGAGAACCACAACTAAAAGGTAAATTGTGCAATGTATAATTATACATTTTATAATTATATTTATAATATTACTACATAGTATTATAAGGGTCTTGAGCAAGGGCTGGTCTAGGACAGGGGTGTCAAACTCGCAATGACACCTGTCATCATCACGTGACATATTACCACTTTTTCCTTCGCTAAAATGGGGGTGGGCGTGGCCATTGTGTGACGCATCCAAAGCGAGTTTGACACCCCTAGACTAGAAGATCTACAAGGCCCCTTCCAATTCTACTGATGATGATATGCAGAGTTTATAAAATAGTCTGAACTTCACCAGATGAACACAGTATCAAGTATTAAGCACATTTTGTAAACAATCACAGGAAATGGTGTATTTGAGAATATTATATTTGTGAGTATGTTATGAGCAGAGAGTAGAACATCTTAATATTCCTGAAACACCTTAAGCAGCATTAGATTTTTTTATATATATAAAGTACATAGTTTTTGGCAAAAAGTATTGTATCATTGAGTGTTTTTCCCTATACTGCAACAAGCTGTATCAAAAGTAGAAATGTAAAGACAGAGACAACAATATATTTTCCTGCAGTTCTACCAGTTTGTCTTTGCTTTATTGTATTCTCCCATTCTTCTGGAACTGTTTGATGGTAGACTGGAAAGTCTAAAGATGATGACCCTTACTACCCATTACATGTCACTGGACTTTCAGTGTTGGCTTCAGGCTCTTCTTTCCTAGGGCCAAAACTTTCTTCTAGAACAGTTATAAGTAATTCTCTTTGCTTCTTTGATTGTGTATCACTTATAGTATATATCACTGTCAATAAACAGGACCAATTTTTGTAAGCCACTCTTGTTGTACAGAATCTTTTTTAACCTTATTATAATTTAAAACGTTTTTTCTGCATTTCTTTCAACCGATCCTCTTCTACCTTCCTTTTTTTCCCCCCTATTCCAAGTGAAAGCACTCATTGATGATGAACCTGCATTGTCACTTATACATAGCTTTAGCTCCAAACATTTGTCAATATTTTGATATGGGAGCCATAGAAAATTTATACAATAAGATATTCTGATCTAGTTTATTATCTCAGTGTTTCCCATCTTGGATGCCTCCATGATGGGTGGACTTCAACTTCCAAAATTCCTCTACCGATGTGGCCTTTGTTGAAAGTTCTAGGAATTGAAATTCAGATATAGAAGTTGCCAGGATGAAGAAACATTTTTCTAAGAAATTCAAGGTCTTGTTATAAGGTCTTTCCTATCATTTAACAATCCTGCTAAGGTTGGACTGAGAGCAAATTAATAGCTTAAAATTGCACCATGAACTTCATGGCCAAGCAGACACTTTAATTTGTATTCTTTACTCCTGTACAACTAACTACCTTATTGACTTTCTACCTCCTGCGGACTGATTCCTAGATGTTATGAGTTTTGGTCAGATCCATCTAATTACAGTAGTGCAATTTCTACTTTCATAAGGCAAGCAACTATGCTTCTATCTTCTAGGAATTTGCATCTTCAAATACAAATTTAGAAATACGACTCAATTCTTTGCATGTCTGCTACCAGAAAAAAATACTTTGTTGAATGGGTCTGTTACAAAAATAATTGCTAATTTTATACTTGCTGCCGTACCAGAGCACTTTTCCCATGCTGCAGCTTCAGTTTTCTTCTTACCTTTTGGGAAATCGAGAGATACTTTGCAGAACAAACAGGCGCTGCCTGTTATCAATGCAAAACTGAGCACCGCAGACCAACAACTAATCTATTAAATAAGAGTTTTTAATCCCAAAACGATGTGAGAAAACTTAACACGCATCATTGTCAAACCCAATCGACAGAACGCAAAGAGGTTTCACTTCTATTATGACATCACTGAGACCAAATCAATAGAATAAGCCGATTGGCACAATTTAATGGCTATAGTAATATTTTCCATCTCTTCTCGGTTTCCTCTAGTGAAAAAACTCCTTACCTGATCTCATAGAGATCCTTCTCTTCCCATTCTAACACCACGACTGACCTCCCGCAAAAGGCGCCAATTCTTATTATATACGTCTATCTTCATTGAACGCATGCGCACTTTAAACTCTTACAACCTCGTCCCGGAAAACAGAAGAGTCTAACGATCTTTTCCTAGGAAGGGGAAAGGAGGGAAAAAAAAAACACACACACACACCACAGTTTCGATTGACCACGCCCCCCGATGACGCAAGCGCACTTTCGATGTCGTCTCCGCCTCTTTTCGCGGCACTAACTTTCCCTACTCTTCCGCGGGATATTGGAATCAATAATACAGTAAAATCTGAAAAGGCTCGGCGAAGAACTGAAGACATGCGCGGACGACGCTACGGGGGGGCTGATTGCGCTTGCGCACGGGGCATTTCTTGGACCTTCGCAGGCGTTTAAAGAGGAGTGCGCATGCGTGTTGCCTTGGGAGGCCGGCTGGCGTCCTGCGTCAATAAATACAAACAAACAAACAAAAAACACCCCCAAAGAGTGAGAGAGTTGGGTGTCGGCGCAGGCGATGCACCTGAAGGGGACGACATGCGAGCTGCCTTGACTTGGAGGGATAAGGTCGAGCAGTGGTAAGAGACGGTCCGCTGTCCGAAACGGGGCTGGGGAGGATAATGGGGAAGAGAGCTGCATTTAGCAGGAGGAGGGACTCTTGAGAAGGACCGCTACTACCATGTGCTCTTTTCACCTCTCTATTCTGCTATGGCTTATTTTAAATAACTCCAATATAAATGCATTTATTAAATTTACATAACATAAGTTAATGAAATAAGAGAAGATAGGTAGGTAAGTAGGTAGATACAGGTAGGTAGGTAGGTGGATAGATAAATAAAATAAAAAAAAACTCGGGTCTGAACTGTGGAGTCCTTGGTGCTCTCTGAGCTTAGTTGTTTGCTTAGTTGATATTTCGTGACCCAACTAGATAACTTCATCAGGCTTGCTCCCTGCTTGTATACAGTAGCTTAAATAATAAGGTATGCCTCTCCCATTTTTTGTCTTATGTAATCCCAAATGTGTTACATAATAAATGGCTGGGAATCTCAAGATCTTTCTGAGGTAAAAATGGAACAAGTACCTGGAAAAGTACAGGTGGTCCTTGAGGTACAACAATTCATTTAGTGACTGTTCAAAGTTACAACAGCACTGAAAAAAAATGACATGGCTGTTTTTTTACAGTTACAACCTTTGAAGCATCCCCATGATAATGGGATCAAAACTGCTTGGCCACTGGTTCATACTTTTGTCTGTTGCTCTGTTTGACCATTGCTCTGTCCCAAGGTGGTGTGATCAACTTTTGCTACCTTCTGACAAGCAACATCAATGGGGAAGCCAGGTTCACTTAACAATGGGTTACTTATCAACTGCAATGATTCATTTAACAACTGTAGCAAGAAAGGTTGTAAAATGTGGCAAAACTCACTTAACAAATATCTCACTTAACCACAGAAATGTTGGGCTCAACTGTGGTCATAAATCGAGGACTACCTGTATACTTATCCACAATTTTCTTAAAACAGAAGAATAATTTAGTTGTACAACACTAAGGTATGTCTAATAATTTGGCCACAACAATTGTTGGTTCCACACAGTATCCTAAACTAAAACCAACTGAGCCACATTGATACATTATACAACTGTTTTGTAGACTACTGACCTATCTCATAAAAATAACTAATAAGTAGATAAAAGAACTTGCCTTTTAACAGCATTCTTTGTTTTCACAGTATCTACGACCTTGCCTTTAAGCCTGATGGAACACAACTAATAATTGCATCTGGAAACAGATTACTGGTATGAGGTTTTTAAAAATACAATATCTGGCCTAAAAGAGATTTCAATTAGAAACATTATTTGAAATGGTGTTAATACTTAAACAGAATATTACCAAGAAATCCCAGGATTATAAACTTGTTTGGGAAGTGGGGATAGGGAGGTAGTTTACTTGAGAGTAGTGGAGAGACATTAGAAAATACCCTAGAAAAGGCGGATTATTTGAATGCTAAATTCAGACATGAATAAAGGAGAATATTTGAGGCTTAGAGTTGACATGGGGGATCCTTGGTGCTTCCTTGTTTTCTTTCAGATGTTTCATTATCCACACTAGGTAACATCATCAGTGCTAGTCCACTAGCACTGATGATGTAACCAATTTTGGGTTATGAAATGTCTGTCAGAAAACAAGCTGATGGGGCACCAAAGTCTCCTCATGAATTCAGTCAGAATTCAGGCCTAGGCATGCAACGAAGATGGCATTGATTGTGCTAGTGGGTTACCTCTGAAGTGATTTGGTAAGGGAACTGTCCCTTTCGCAGTTAGCTACACTTGGAGATTGGAGTCATTGTTCTATAGTAGTAGTCCTTTTTAGCAGGTGGTTTCAGTTAGTAGTTATAGGGGAGGTGAGATCAGCCCAGTAAACATTTGGTGATGGGGTGCTACAGGGCTTCATTATCTTTCTGTTTGTTGAACATCTATATGCAGTCATTGAGACAAGTGATCAGTCAATTCAGGATGTAGTGTCCTCAACATACTGATAACTTTTCCATTGCTATCCTGGGATACCCCGGGCCATGATATGGAAGTCTTGTCCTGATGTCTAAAGGCTGTTAGGATCTGAATGAGACAAAATGAACTGATGGAAAAGCCAGGCAAGATACTATTGGTTTGTTCAGGTTTCTGTTTGTTTCCAGTGTTGTATCTCAAGTGGGAGATGCTATCCCTCAAGAAGTAAATATGTAAACTGGGAAGCCTCCTGATATATGGCAACTGCTCGGTGGGTAAATGGATACCTTCAATGTGCTTCATATGGGGCTGTTTTTGAAGATTTCTGGAAGCTAGAAATGGTATTTTGATTCTGTTTGCTGGCAGGTCTTAACCATCAGAGTATATTGCATTTGTGCTTAAATTTTTATATTGGTGTCCAATAGAGTTTAAATATAATTCAAAATGCTGGAAAATAAAACATGAATATGGAATTATGAATTGTGCAATTTTAGTGTATGATTATTCTGATTAATGACTGAATTATTGATTAATATGTTTTTTATACTCTTACTATGAGTTTTATTGTTCCATAATGTATACCTTAGATGCCATTGTTTATAATTTTCATGGTAGATGGTTTTGGTGTGTTATGTTGCTATGGTACCTTTGCTGTCATGTTGGATCATCTGGAATTTTGCAATATAGAATTGGAGATCTAAGAGCATTTTTCTGCAGATTATCTTTGTTTTAAAATAGTTTATCTTAAAGTATTATTTTTATGCATCTGTACTATTATACTTTCTGTGTTACTTTATCTGTACAGGTGTATGATACATCTGATGGAACATTAATCCAGCCCTTGAAAGCTCATAAGGATACAGTATATTGTGTAGCATATGCAAAAGATGGTAATATGAAATCCACTGTTTACATTTTGTACAATTACATTTGCCTTTTTAATGTCACTAATACAAGATCTATATACCATATCTTGTCAACTGAGGCAAAGAATTGATCAACTCCTGATCAAAATTTCTTAAGAAGTATAAATTCTTTGGGATGTTCAAAACATTGCTGATAATTTCACTTCCAAGTAGTACAATATTGAATTATTTTTGTTAGCATATTTCACTAGTGTCTGCTTTTGACAGTTGGGAATTTGTGCACAAGGAACTCAGGACTTCTCAAATTTATTTTTTTAGCACATAGCCAAGATTTTTCACAGCTTAGTTGCTTACTTCTAATACAAAAGAAACAAAGTATGCATTAATATAGTTATTGCATGCTTTTCATAATCATATAAATGTTACTTTTTCAACCAGTCTCAAGATGCTGGGTATATCCAATAACAAAAATATATGATAGTTAACAACACATTTTAAAGTTATTTCAATGAACTGAGAAAAAGATAGATTTAATAAATATTTTTTGAAAAATCTTTATGTCTGGTAATGTGCTAAACAGATAGCAGGTGCTTGCTAACATTAGAAGGTGCATTTGAGATCATATTATTAATACATTTCTATAAATTGTACTCCAATGAAAAAAATCCTAATTAAAAATACAATTGTCAATTGGTCTAATTAAAAAACATTTGGTGCTTTACAAAATTATGTAAATTAAACCTATATCATAAATATGTATATAAAATATGGTTATGTACTGGTAATCCCATTTGTTAGCAAGATTAAGAAAATTATAGACTATGATAATATTATTACATTTCTGTGTTTTAGATTAACAGTTCATTCTAAAGCTACTTCATAATTTTTATATTGGCTTCTACAAATTTTCCTAGGAAAACGCTTTGCATCAGGAGCTGCAGACAAAACTGTCATAATCTGGACTTCAAAGTTAGAAGGTATCCTGAAATACACGTAAGTGATTATGACTGATGTATGTGTTTAAGAATTACTTTTAATCTAAACAGAAGAAATATTGACATGAAGAAAACAATTTTACAGGGACTGGATCTATTTGGAAAAGATACTTGTTGTAGTCTGAAACTGAGGATGATGGAGGCCATACCAGTAGCCAACATAGAACATGGGTCAGCAATCCTGGCCTTCGCCCTGTAAAAGTTTGCACCCCTCACTTGATTGAGTAAATATCTGAAGAAGTTTAAACATTGAATATAGGATTTTTGATTCCGTGCTTCTTTGTAAAGCAATATTTTTTCAGAAGGTGATTAACTCAATAGTGCCGTGATATAGGACTCAACTGTTGAAAGTCTTTCTATGTTTCCATTTCATTACTAAAACAATAAGCTCCTGAGCTTGGTTAGTGTGTACCACACAAGCTTGAGCATAGGGTTATTTTCTTTTTTGTTTGATAGCTGCCTCTCAGAGAAAAGGAATATGTTGTACTGCTTATTAATGAGTTGAACATATTTGTTATCTCTTACTATTACCCCCCACTTAGCCTGAATATCATCATTCATAATTCTCAGTCAACAAAGCCATGTTTCAGCATATCTGAAAGACATCTGAGTTGTGAATGCCTGAAACAGGTTCTCAGCATAACATCTATGAACAGAGCTGGCTAGAGACATCTTACAAGTACAGTAAAACTTCAAATTTACAAACATCTATTTAATGACTACTGGTCCAACAGACCAAATTTAGGGAAAATATCCATTACTTCAAGTAATAGACAAATCCAAACTAGTTAAATAAATAAATAAATTTAGTTAAATTTAACTAGAGGCAGTTAAATTTACATAATTTTTTATTATTTGCAGCAATTATACAACTTATGTACATTGCTGAGAAATACATAGTTTGCAATTTAACAT